ACAATGAAAGAAACTCCTGAAACATTTTAATGTTCCGATTTTTAAAAGACTGTTCTTAGTAGAGTTTGCAAAGGTTCATTAAACTTTGTTGGGTTACTTTGATTCAATTCTTTTTACCTATTTTACAGGAAAACTGAGACCCACAGAGGTTAAGTGATGTTTCCAAAATCACTGTGGTAGCTAAAAGCTCACCAGAGAGAGGCCAAATCTCCTGACACTCAGAATCATTCTTTCCTACTACATCACAATATTTCATTGATAATTCATTAATGGACACCTCTACTCTGGTTTTTCATTCACAGTTACATGGGAAAAACAGTAAAGTGAAAAATGCACAGCTTCTGATTCAGACAAACCTAGGGTCTGAATTTTTCAACAAATTATACCACTTTGCTTAGCATTAAGGCTGATCCTAAATAGGAATATGTTCTGGAAGAAATTATAATAAACCTACACTCTTAACCAAAGATTCGGCATCTGAATGTGCACCTGCTTATCCTTTATGAGCCTATCCAAGGATTTTGTAACAGATTCTATGAATACTACTCAGCTAAGCCAACTGAAAAAAGGGAAGATAAAAGAATGGCAGTACTAATCCTAATTGATGACTTCGTAGAAAATACCTATTGGGAATAAGCTCTAGGGTTTATCCTATGAGGGTAATAAATCATCTGGTAAAATAAAGAGGTAATATATAATTTTAAAAATCCAGTTTAAAAAAGGGTATTTTTTATGAGCTTTAACAGAGCCCTTAAAAAAATTTTTTTAAAGATTTTATTTATTTGACAGACAGAGATCACAAGTAGGCAGAGAGGCAGGCAGAGAGAGAGGAGGAAGCAGGCTCCCAGCTGAGCAGAGAACCCAATGTGGGGCTTGATCCCAGGATTCCAGGATCATGACCTGAGCGGAAGGCAGAGGCTTTAACCCACTGAGCCACCCAGGCACCCCAGAGCCCTCAAATTCCTTATCTATTTACATCTCCCACATCACTCCTAAATAATTTTGATAAATGTGTTTCTCAAAAAGTGCCCTAAAGATGATACAATTGTCTAAGCTTAAGGCATATAGATTTCTTTCTTAGTTATGGCATTTTTGAGGTTGTTCACAAATATTCTACTAGTTAATAAGCTGAAGGGAAAAATACGCTAACTGCACTCTTTTTCAGCCTTAAAATTCTTTTTGCAATTATGTTTTTAAAATGCTGAATCATGAAATAAAGGAAACAGACAATGCAAGGAGCCCAAATGAGTAATTTGTCTCATACTTCAAGTTTCCTAATTGTCATACTGGTCTTGTTAAGCATTTGGAACCTAGTAACTGAAGTGTCTAAGTGACTGGAAGACTATAACTCATTCTCGGAAACTGAACTCGAGGAGAAAACTAAAAGCATTTATTTCTGCAAGTAATTTTACACTTTCAACTTCCTGTTTTATTTAGGCAGCTCATCATGACCATTTCAGGTAACAATGTAGAAGTTAAAAAACCCAACTTCCTCTTTGTAAAGTGATAAAAACCCTAAGCAGTTACTTATGAGAATGGTTGATCTTACTAGCTTTTATGGAAATACTTGCAAGGAAATCACAGATTATCAACATCAAATTCACAGATTATATATATATACACATAAAAAATATATACCCCACATGATGACATAAATGCCTTAAAAAATCCAAATCCAATGCAGTTGAGAATTTGGTTAAAAAGAACATAAAATGGAAACTTTAGAGTTCCTTCAAAGAAGAATCAATACAAATTACAGCTGAAAATAACTTAAAAATTTGTTTGTAATTGTGCCTTGGTTGTGAAAATTTTATAGGACAAGAATCTCTCTTATGGGTTGTTTATGAATGCTAACATATTCAAATCAACTAGTTTTGTTGGAAAAATACTTCAATTCCTGAATTCAGTTAAAAGGAATTAGAAGCTTGGAGGAAAGGGGGCAATGAAGCTAAAGGAGAACTGAAGTAATCTTACAAGTTAATGCACTTTCTTTTTACTTACAGATTTGCAACAGAGAAACACAATTTACCTACTGTCTGGAAATAAGGATCTAACAAAATTTCAGTAATCTCAAATCACTGGGTTATATGACACTTCTTAATAACAGCTATTCATAGTTATCCACAATAATGAAGAAATGTGGCTAATCTAAAACTGTTTACTGAATATGAAATTCATCAGCATTTTGGGACAGATTTACTGTACTAATTTTGACATGCTTGCTGTGTCATTATTAAAATTAAGCAACAAAAGAAGTATCCTGGGAGATAAGAGGAAACGTCACAAATTTGCTGTTATAGGGGCACCTGGGTGGCTCAGTCATTAAGCCGCTGCCTTTGGCTGAGGTCATGATCCCAGGGTCCTGGGATAGAGCCCCTCATCAGGCTCCCTGCTTGGCAGGAGACCTGCTTCTTCCTCTCCCACTCCCCTTGCTTGTGTCCCCTCTCTCACTCTGTCCTTCTCTGTCAAATAAAGTCTTTAAAAAAAAAATAAAGTGCAAAATACTTTAATAAAAAAACCTGCTGTTATAAAATGAAGACAATGTTATTAAATATTGTCAATAATCAAAGATACCTCAATTTGCACTTTTCTTTTGAAATACATGTATTATGTTTTCCCAAGTTTAATTAAGAAGGCATTCTACCCTATTGTTAAAGACAAAAACTCAACAATACTGGTAAATGCAGTATTGTTTGGACACCATAAATTTTGAAGTTTATTGTTATTTAAGTGTTTAGTGAAATCTTGTTGTACCATATTTTTCCTTAAAACAAGTGGACCATCAGTTGAGCTAACAAATGTTTGGTTATTCCGATTTTTACTATAATTTAATTTCATCTGAATCATAACTCTTTGACTTGACATTTTATTACAGCCTTCTCTTCAGCATAAATTCACATATAAGATGTCCTTTTCTCCTCTATGTGAGAGTTTTCAAGAATGAGAAATTTCAAGAATTTTCAAGAATGAGAAAATTCAATGCTAAAGTATTATTCAATGATTTGTGAATGGTTAGCACATCCTTCAACATTTCAAAATGACATGGTATATGTAGGTACAACAAATCAAATTATTCTGTACTGAGTACTCCTGGACCATAAACAGTCCCTTGTGCCATCCCATTCTCTTTTACTAAAAAAAGAGCCCAGATACATTTACAGAGCACGCAAGAATGCACATTTTTGTAACAGCCACTGTAGGAAACAAAAGACATAATTCTTGTCCTGTAACGAGTCATCTAGTGAAATCATTCTAATTTCTATAGACTTTAAAATCAGATAGTTACTGAAATGCCTGACGAAGTGTTAAAAGTGTACAGTTGTCAGCAAAAGGTTATTCTACCTAACGTAGAATATGCTCTTGTATTTAAAACACATTTTAAGAAGTAAATATGCAAATTACACACTGACAAATTTAACTATAAAGACATTAACAGTGGAGCATCAAAGAAGGCATGATGCTTTGTCCAGACTTGAAAGTGTTAATATGAAGTTTATGTGCTATATAAAAAAACCTTTATAGAGCTAAAAAAAAAAAAATCCGCTGGCTATTCTTGATTTGTTAACAAGAAACAGAAAACTATTTTTCAAAAATTACCGTTAATAGGATGTAAGACGCAAAGGATGGAGTCATCGCGGGCTTATGTGCATACATGCAATCAATCAAAGGAGTGTCCACAGGGAAAAGTGGTCAAATTCTGAAGCTAACGTCCTGAGGCTTACATATTTATTAGTGAAAATCAGTTCAGCCGATAGTAAGTAAGAAAAGAGTGGATGGGCGGACAACACATGGGGACCTCTCCCTGTCGAGGAGTCGTGACAGCAAAATCACTTCCTGAGGAAGGAGGAGCGAAAGGGAAGTTAAGAGGCCATCCTGACCAGGAAGTGACTCGCCCCAAACTAGCCTCAATCGTATCTAAAAATGGGGGGATGGGGAGAGCCCCAACAGTTAAAGGCGGTAAAATAACTGCTTCTTGATACGTCGAGACATCACCATCGCCCCCACTCTTAATTACAGAAAAAAGTCCACAGTCACGATTCAGTGAACGAAAGTCTCTTCTCTTGCTTAAGGGTCACTAGGCTGTGCTTCAGGCCCAGGAAGAGAAAAAGAGAGTTGAGGAATGGGGAACTGGGGCCACCGTGAGGCAGACCAAAGCCCCTAAAGAGAGAAGCGTCCCAACTGCAGAGCGTATCCCAGTACAGGCCAAGAAGCTTCTTTTTTCTGGGGACACCGCCAGGGTTCCCACCGCAGCCAGGTCAGGCCCCCGTTCCCTGTCGCGAGAGGAGGCAAGAGAGAGAGGCGGACCCCTTACCTTCTCCTCATCCGACACCCGGTCCTCGAAGTCGGCCATCTTGGGCTGCTCTGGCCCAGCCCGGCCCCGGCGCGAGGCAGGCCGGGAAGGAAGCTGAGTGATGGAATCATCGCGGGGGCTGTCGGAAGGACCCGCCCGGAAACGCCGACCCAGAGGGCGCCATGTCAGTTTCGGGCGGGGTGGTGGTTCTGAGCGCCGTCCCTCCGCGAAGTCTCTAACTCTGCCTTAAGATTTTTCCTTAAATGATTTTAAAACTAATAGCTTTCTCACTGAGTTACGTTCATTTCCCCCATTCATCTATGAGACGCTGGGAGCATGTTTCCACTATTCCTGACACCCGAGTTCCATCCGACCAAATCGCAATTGCTACTGTAGGTTTTCCCAGTACCAGTGATCTCTGTGGCGGCCGAGTCCAAAGGGCTAAATGCTGCTCGGGCCCTGGAACGGTCGGTGGCTTTTCCAACCCTGGGAATAGGGTGAGAGGTGACCGTCACTCGTATGGAAGCGAAAACATTTCACGCAGAGATCACATCTCAGTCCAGTTCCTCCAATATGTGCCGCCAGTCACCCTTTCCTGCCCTTCGAAGGAAAGGTAACCTCAGTCTTGGGACGCTCCTTCACGTTCCAAATTTTCTTGGTCCGCGTTCCCTGGGACTCAGCCTCTACAGAGGCCAATTTCAGGTCCACCACTATCCCAGGATTCCCGACTCCCGGTTTCCTGCCCTTCTCCCCTCCCAGCTCCCGGAGCCTGCGGGAGCGGCAAGATGGCGGACGGAGACGGATTGGGTGAAGCAGCTACTGCTACGGCATCTCCTCCTGCACCTGCTCCCGGCCTGAGCCCGTCGCTCGGCTGGAGGGAGCGGCTGCGGGCCGGACTGGCGGGGACTGGGGCCTCGCTGTGGTTCGTGGCGGGGCTGGGACTGCTTTACGCTCTGAGGGTCCCGCTGAGGCTGTGTGAGAATTTGGCTGCGGGTGAGAGGCCCAGACCTCCCTGGGGACGAGAGCGGGAGCTAGAAGAGGGGCCGGGGGCAAGAGGCAAAGGGCAGAGATTCTCCGCAGTCACTGGAGGGCTTCAGAGAAAGAGTCGGTTGTGCGCTACCTAGTGTGTTCTTCTCCAGGTCTGCAACTCCGCAGCTGATTGTCAAACCTGAGCGGCAGCTATGGGCTCCTCCCTTGAGCTCTTAAGATCCGCCCTCTCTCAACTGTCCTCGTTTACCCGAGGAAGAGCCCGCCACCTGACACGCTGTAGGCTTCAGGTAGTAGGGCAGATGAGAGCATTTTCATATCGGTTGCAGAATTTATATATACTCCCAGCATTGGTAGGATCCATTGAAAATCATTCTTTTGAGTCTCTCGCCGGTTAGCCAAGAGTTCCCATACCCAGACAACAAAGATGAGAGTTTCTGCATTCAAAGACCTAAAAGGGGGGGAAAAAATGCCATGACCTTAGCTAACCATTATCATATTCTAAGATAGTTCTGTCAAGAAAGTTTTTGTGGTATCTTGTTCTCTTCTTTGCTTTAGGCTTTATCTTCAGTAATAAAACAGTATAGGAAGTAAAGGGGAAGAGAGCCACAAACAGTAATGGGTTCTTTCAACATTCGTAGAAAGCTTGCTATGTAGTCTGAGCTGAAGATACAAAGACGTGTCAGAAGTGATGATCCCCGTGGATTTTGCAAATACTATCCTTTACCTGTAGCCAGGACAAAGTGGATGGGAGCCAAGGCCTTTTACCATTACATTAAATTATTTCCACTCAAGCTCTGAACAGATCAAAGTATTTCTGCTGTGTGATGAACTGTGACTATCAGTACCTGTGGTTTATTTTTCTGCAGCAAGAAAAGGCAAATGTTTCCTTTTCTTTTTCATAAGATGACATGAAATACTGTGAGATAATGTTCTGGACTTTTTAGAAGATAGGTTCTATGTAAGTTCAGATGTAACTAACATACTAAAACTAAGTAAATTGGCCTTCCTAGACTATTTGGAAGAGCTAATTTGCTGTCTCTGTAACTGGTTAATGAAGTGCTTACTAGTGGTTTGCATGCTCAGTGAAATATTATTCATTGATTTTATCATTTATTTTTCCATGTGTTACCTAGATAACACCATTCAGATGAGAGTAGTTAACTATTAATTAGTAGTTAATTTCTGAAACCTGTGGTATTTATGAGACAGTTATTTGAAATGAAAAATCTGGTCCAGGCTTCCAATGAGTCAGGTTCAAGGAGTTCTCTCAGTCTGTTACTATTCTCTTTGGTTTATTTTTGCCTCTCTAGCTGACATACACATACTGATTCCTTGCCTCTAATTTGAAACACTGGTTTGTATCTCACCAAAATAATTAGTGAGTTGTTTTAAATCTCCTTTGTAACAGGATGTCTGTTTAGTTTATTCTTAGGGATTTGCAAAACTTCTTGTTGAATTTATGGTTTATAAGTTCTTAATTTATTCTGAAAAGTAAACTGAATTATCCCACTTTGATTTGCTTATTTAACAAACTATCAGTTTAAAATGCTACCCTTACATGTGCAAAGCTAATTTTTAAGATGTGATAGAATGGAAATTTAAAGTACCTTTTTAAAAATTATAGCTTTCTCAAAGGAATCTCGTACTAGATATTAACACTATTTATATTCCTCCACTCATAAAGACAGCTGCATATTTGTAACTTGAAGTATTTTGAATTTGCATTTTTTTAAACTTTGATTTTTTTTTTTTCCTTTTGCAGTGACAGTATTTTTAAATTCATTGACACCAAAATTCTATGTGGCACTTACAGGAACATCTTCTTTGATATCAGGACTAATATTTGTAAGTAGTTTCCATTTCCTTCATGTTTTGGTATTTATCTAAAGATCAAATATCTTTATATGGTTACAATAATTATAAATACTTATAAATCATCATTCTCAATATGTGTTCAGAATTTGAAAAAAAATACTGCATCTTCCTCTCCACATTTAGAGACTGGCAGTATTCCTTTGTATATGAGACTGTTGTTTACTGGAAGGGGCAGGGATTGGGGGTGCATTCCCAACTAAACGCTCGCAGGGCCCAAGTTAGCAACAAATGATATAGAGTGTAAAAATGTGTAAAAATTAAGTTTCTTATTTACTTTTAGCACTGGGTAATCTGGACAATGCATGCTCCTTTTGGAAGGGGATAAAGCTAGTTGTTGCCATATAGATTGCAGACCAATTTTTCATATGATTTTGGAAGACTCTGGATGCATCAAGTGTTTATATAAAAGTTTCCCAATACTTTAATCTTGGCAACATTGGGCAGACTGAAAATTCGTGTCTTGAATTCAGCCTATAGTTTGCCAGTTATCTTCTCTGGAGTGTTTAAGAGCAGAGTATTGGAGCCAAGCTAACTATCACTTTATTTATTTATTTTTTAATTGTGAGAAGAAAATTTTTTTAAATTGAAGTATAGTTCACATACAATATTTATTAGTTTTCAAAACCATCACTTTAGTTGTGTGAGCAAGTTAGTTAACTTTTCTAAGCTTTAATTTCCTCATCTATAAACTGGGGAAAATAAAATCAACTTCATAGGATTATGAAAACTAAATGAGATAATGTGTCTTAAGATCTTTCAATAACATGGTAGCTAGCTTACAGTGAGCACTTAATGAAATTTGACTGTTATTATTCTGAGAAGTTGTAACTTTAATTTGGCTTTCCCTTGTCTTAATTGACAAGGGAATTTTAAATTAAGAAATTAAAAAAAAAATATATATATATATGTATATATATATAATCTCTATTAACATCCCTGGGAACTAGTGTGTCCTAGTATAAACCTCGGAAAAATACTGCTACAGATAAAAATCTGAGGAAGTATGGCATACATGACCAAGGAATTTTTCTGTGCTTTTTTCTCATCTCTAGATGGTGCTCTTCTATTATAGTAGAAATAATGGCATTTGTATTGGAGTGTTTTTTGTTTCTGTTTTTTGGTTTTTTTTTTAATAAGGACTAATACTTGGCCATTTTTTGAAAGTGAAATGCTAGCCAAAAAAGGGATTTTCTCTTGATTAAAAAAAAAAAATACTGAGGAATTTAGGATGCAAACCATGTGTTAACATAGTTAACAGCAGTAGCTAATAATAAAAATAGAGTGGTCATAACAATATACTGCAAAGAAAATTAGGAAATTCAAGTAACATTTTAAAGGTTAAACTGTGTCATGACCCTTGTAATATTGATGACTTTTTATTGGCAAAGGTTATTATTTTTATAATTTCTTCTACCTCCTGAAATATGGAGCTCTATCTATGCTGATTGGGTTACTTCCACCAGAAGGGGTGGGGGATAGTGTGTTTGGGAGCTTGAAGAATAGCAATGAAACCAGTTGTTTAGCTAATTATTACAAATGAAAAGATTACTCTGAAAGGAAAATGGAGGATCCAGGGGGAGTGCATATAGTACTGTTTTCTGTTCTATGGAATCAGGGAAATCTCCCTGGGGACCTGTCATTTAAGCTGAAACCCCCCAAAAAGCCAGGCAAAGGTAGTTGGGAATGCTAGTATCCAAATATGAAACATTCTGCTAATTCAACACAGAGCTTTTTTTTTTTTTTTTTTAATTTATTAAAGTATTCTCTAGCCTAACATGGGGCTTGAACTTAGAACTGGCGATCAAGAGTCTCATTCTGTACCAACTGAGCCAGCCAGGCACTCCCACAGGGATTCTTTTGATTCCTCTTTTCATAACGTTGATAAACCATGAAAACGTAAAGGAGTGAATATCCTGATTTTTAAATGGTTCAATATGAGAATCAACCTCTTAACCTACATTAATTATACTGCGAAATACTGGAGTAGTACTTCATGTTCAGAAGGCACTTACAGTTCTTGTTAACTATATTTAATAGATAGGACATTGAGGCTCTGAGAGGCTAAAGGTTAAGTGACTTACCCAAAGCACGCAGGGGGACTGGGAGTCAAATGTGAGCTTTCTAACCCTAGTCTTAATCCACCATGCTAGTTTCAAAATTATTTCTATTTTAATTATGCTTTAGATAGAATAAAATGACAATGTAATGTAACAGAGTTAGATTATTTATAGATTAAATGCTTTTTGCTGGTTTGTTTATTTGTTTTAAGTAATCTCTACACCCAACATGGAACTCAAACTCACAACCCAGAGACCAAGAGTCACATGCTTTACTGACTGAGCCAGCCGGGCACCCCTGTTTCTTGTTCTTTTAATATTTCATTTACAGATACATTTCTTCTAGTATTGCCTCAGCTTCTCTAAATTTCATAACAAAGCTATAAAAAAGGTATTTTATTTCTGCCTAGCATGTGTTATTGGGGAATCTTATGTTTGGTTTATTTTTTGGAAGGAGAGTATATTTAAAATGCCAGATTAAATGGGAGCATCTTTTAGGAATGTTTTAGTTTGAGCTCATATATCTGCTGATCAGTTCTGTTTTAAATAAAGGATTTTTTTTTGGTTTGTCGTAGATATTTGAATGGTGGTACTTCCATAAACATGGCACGTCTTTTATTGAACAAGTATCCGTGAGCCATTTGCGACCACTGATGGGAGGAACAGAAAGCAGCATTTCAGAGCCAGGTTCTTCTTCTAGCAACAGAGAAAGTGAAACCAGCAGACAGAATTTGTCAGGTGACTATTTGTGTAATATGTTTTCAGAGCTGTATAGTTAAGATTGTTTGTCTGTGGGAGATAGAAAACTCACAACAGAGAGAAGTTTGTCTTCCATGTAAATATAGGTAATCTGCACTGATACAGAGAACAGTGATCATCAGAGACCCAGTGATCATCAGTCTCCTATTTTGTTAGCCTGCCAGTCTTCAAGTGAAGTTTTCCCTTGTGGTCCAAAACAGTTCCTGTCATTTATGCCATCATATCCACATTGCAGTCAGTGGGAAGGAGACTAGGCCAGTAGGAGGCCACCCTTTCTTCCTACTCAACCCCCAGCAACCAAGGATACTTCTCAGAATGTTACGTTACCATTTCAGCTTATTTCCTGCGTCAGACCTCTGCCAAATGGCCACAAGTAGCTATAAGGGAAGCTAGAGATTATAACCATTTTTTCAGCATACATATGCTCAGCTAATAATTAGGAGATCTTATTAGATAAAGGAAAGAACAGAGACAATTAGCCATTTCTGCCAACATAGCAAAGTAAGGAAAAATACTTTTTCTTCTCAATATATTTACAAAGGTATCGAAATCTTAGTTATTCATGTATAGATACTCTATTAATCACACTTTAATTGTAGGCTTTTCCTCTATATATATCCAGTAATACAAAGTAAATATTATTAGTGATATGCAATTAGAAATTAAAAATTTGAAGGCCAGATAAAAATGATATTTTTGGATTATTGTTCCTTTAATTTGATATCAGTAAAATTCATACAGTAATAACACAAATGACTTAATTTCATAGATATCTGATTTGTTTGGTAACCCTAGGAACTTAGAGTTGTATTAGTTTAGTAGAAAAATACTGCCACTTTTTAGATATGGTCAGGGAAAGTCTTTGAGAAAGTGCCATTGAAGCTGAGCTCTGAAGCATGAGTGGGTATTGACCAGGAACAGTAGGGATGGGATTAGCAGCCATTCAAGAGTACAGGATGGAATAATGATACTTTTCTTTCTCCTTTTCTTTTCTCCTCTTTCATAAAATAATTACAGAACTACTAAGAATGAGACATATTAAGATGAATATGACATAGATCTGTCCTCAAGAAGTTGAGTCCAGGGGAGCCTGGGTGGCTCAGTGGGTTAAGCCGCTGCCTTCGGCTCAGGTCATGATCTCGGGGTCCTGGGATCGGGCCCCGCATCGGGCTCTCTGCTCAGCGGGGAGCCTGCTTCCTCCTCTCTCTCTGCCTGCTTGTGATCTCTCTGTGTCAAATAAATGAATAAAATCTTTAAAAAAAAAAAAAAGAAGTTGAGTCCAGTATGTAAATAATTATGATAAAAATGCATTATATAATCTTATTCCTTATTGTGAGATTGAGTATATCATTGCATATGGAGAGTGAAGACACTCCCTACCCTGCACTCTAGCCTAACTATACTGGTGTTTTGTTTTGTTTTAAGATTTTGTGTATTTATTTGACAGAGAGAGAGTGGGAACACAAGCAGAAGGAGTGGGAGAGGGAGAAGCAGGCTTCCCACTGAGCAGGGAGCCTGATGCCGGGGTCAATCCCAGGACCCTGGGATCATGACCTGAGCCAAAGGCATACGCTTAAGGACTGAGCCATCCAGACACCCTACTTTGTGGTTTTTATGATATGTTTTCTCCTTAGAATGTTCGTCATCTGGCAACTTTCTTTTACCATGATTTTTTTTTTTTATCATGATTCAATGTCTTTTACCATGATTCAGTGTCAGTTCACAAGTTACCTCCTTTCGAAAGCCTTTTCTAATTTCCCCAGAAAAATATTAATTAATTTTCTGTTTTTCTTCTCTTGGAACAAAATATATCTCTCCTGTAGACTTACCATACAGTTCAGATGGTAGTTTACATGACTGACTCTCATGTGACATTTCATTCATTTAAACAAGTTAGTTCCAAATGCTGTGCTAGGCTCCAAGAATACAAAAATGAATAAATTGTAACAGCTCATGTTCTAAAGAGAGAAACTGAAAATCAAATGGATAATCACATTATAATATGTTAAGTGAAGTGCTGTCATTGAATCATGAACTAAATGCCATAGAAATAATAGAAATAGGAGAATGACTAGATTTAATTGTATGCTGCATGACAGCAGGGGTGATCCAGGCCTTATTCATCTTTGTGCTATTTGGCTAACACTGTGCATAGCATATACTGACTGTACCATAAATGTTGATGAAATTAAGATTGAACTGCAGTTGGTTAAGCTAATTCATTTCCCTTTTCCCCTCTTTGTTTTTTAGAATGCAAGGTATGGAGAAACCCTCTAAATCTTTTCAGAGGAGCAGAATATAGGAGGTATTACATTTTGCTTTCAGTATAACCATAGCATTAGGTTTAGAGTAGAAGTATTATGGAAACATTTGTTTTCATAAACACATTACAGCTCTTTTAGTTGGAGACACTGATACATAATAAGGTAAAATGATTAGCCCAACCTTTAGTTGGCAGCATCTTCACTGTATTTACTTCTATAATCATGAGAAACATTGCTTCAAGCCATATGTTTATGATAATAGTAAGTATACAGTTGGCTCCTGGTTTTGGCAAAAAACCTTTTCAGAGAATTCATGAGATTAAGAAAAGAAGTACAAATGTCAGCATGTTCTTATGCATATATGCTCAATTTCAAAATTTATTTGAACACTCACTAGAAAATATCAATCTGAATGTGAATATGAACTTAATTTGTGCAACAGTACAGGGTAAAGTATTTTTATATTGTATTTTTAAAATTTTTTAAAGATTTTTATTTATCTTGAGAGAGAGCACATACACATGTATGGGGGGAAGCAGAGGCAGAGGGAAGAGAGAATCTCAAGCAGACTCCTTGCAGACGGTGGAGCCCAATGTGGGGCTTGATTTCACGATCCTGAGATCATGACCTGAGCCTAAATCAAGAGTTGATCACTCAACCAACTGAGCCACCCAGGCACCCCTTGTATTTTATATTGCCTTTTGCTATCCATACTGCTGTGTCCATTTCTCTTCTGGTTTTAACTCTAGATGAGAAAACAGCTTGTGACACTTAAAGATACCCAAAGATGCTTTATTTTATTTTATTTTTTTAAAGATTTTATTTATTTATTTGACAGAGAGAGGTCACAAATAGGCAGAGAGGCAGGCAGAGATAGAGGGGGAAGCAGGCTCCCCACTGAGCAGATAGCCGGTGTGGGGCTCAATCCCAGGACCCTGGGATAATGACCTGAGCAGAAGGCAGAGGCTTAACCCACTGAGCCACCCAGGTGCCCTAATACTTTATTTTAATAAGGACTGTGTTTTACCTTTAGGTAGACTGGGGCATGTTATGTACATTTCATTGAACAAGAAACATTAGGTATCTACTATCTATGACCACTGTGAAAATGATGGGAATACAGAGTGACAGAGTGATAATCCCTGTGCTTAAGGACTTGATAGTGTAGGATAGTAGTATCCTGGAAAGGAAAAGCTAGGTTTTTATGAGAGATGCCTTTAGTCTGTATTAAGGGATTCTGTAAGAAACAAGTCCTTGAATTTCTCAGTCCATTTGTTAAAATAAAAAGGTTTTAGGCTATTTCTTGTTGTATTACAGGGTTCACTTCACAAATATCTAAAAAAGAAATTTCTTATCTTGATATCAGGAACACTTATACTTTTTTTTGAATGATTAGTTTGTCTTAATGTAAAAGCCTCAATTGCACTGATAATCATTGTGTGGTTTTAGAAAGCTTAAAGTCCTACTGTAGTCAGCCTTTAATAAGTGTACGGAACTTTGGTATGTATTTCATATGTTAGATTCATTCCTGGCTCCACTGTATGGCCCAATTTTTGCTTTCACTGAGTCTTTTTTATTTGTTTTTAAATTAAGGCCATTAATATTGTACATTTTATGTTTTAATTCCTTTAAGTCATTTTGGGAATAATGTAGATCGTTAATAAATAATCTTTTTACATGTTTAGAATATGTAGCAAAACTTTGCTTATTGAAAAAGGATCTACTTTTTTCTTTATGATAATTTCTCACAAAATAGCTTAAAAACTTTAAATAGCAATGCAACTTGGACTATTAAATTACTTAAAATCTTTTATCATATACATATAAATAATACAATGTGCTTTTAAAATGCTTTTTGGATTTAAAAATGCATGCATATTCATGTAGAAAATTGGAAAATGAAGAGATTTATTAAATTACTTAAAATCTTTTATCATATACATATAAATAATACAATGTGCTTTTAAAATGCCTTTTTTAATTTTAAAATGTATGCATATTCACTGTAGAAAATTGGAAAATGAAGAGATGTATCAAAAAGAAAGGAAAAAAAAGAAAGTAAAAATCACCGTTTCCTACCATTAAGTGATAACTGCTATTAGTATTTCCATCTGGTCTCTCTTCTGTGTCCATGTATAGGAACAAAACTTGGGCATCATTATGTGTATATAATTTCACATCCTTTTTTCTAACACAATGTATGAATTTTCCTCAAAATTTCTTAATACGTGAATTGCTTTTTTTTTTTTTTTTTTGAAGAGTGGGGAGCAGAGGGCAAAGGGAGAGGGAGAGAGAATCTTAAGCAGATGCAGATGCTCCACTGGGTGAGGACCCTGACACGGGGCTTAATCCCAGGACCCTGAGATCATGACCTGAGCCAAAATCAAGTTGGATGCTTAAAGTTGACTGAGCTACCCAAGTTCCCCTTCATACATGAATTTCTTCAAAAATATGGTTTTTAATGATTGTACTCTATTCTATTATATGGAGGTACCTTACCTTACCTATTGCTCCCCTATCTGGGTCACAGATTATGTTTCACTGTCAACATTTACACTAAAGTGGTATCTTTATATATAAATATTTAGCATATGATATTAAACATCTATGATTATTTCCTTAGGGCTGATTTGTGGCACTGAGATTCCCGAATTAAAGGATGTGAACATTTTTTCCCCCCTCCACTTTATTATTTTCTTTATGGAGATTTTCAAAAATTAAAAAGTAGAGAGAATGGCATAATAGAATTCCACATGCCCACCCCCTAGCTAGAAGTGAATATTTTTAAGACTCCTAATAGATATTACCTAATCGATTTTTTGGAAAGAGAAAGGTAAATGGCAATTTAATTTATTCCAGCAGTATATGTGAGTCCATATTCCTCCTCATCCTCAGCAACATGTAGTTGCCGTTTGACAGATGAAAAGTAAAAATTTGTTAATTTAATTCACTATTTGTTAATTATTAATGAGATTGGACCTTTAAAAATGTATTTATTAGCTGGTTTGTTAACTTGCTATTAATTTTTGTGGGTTTCAGGGGGATATGAAAGTTTAAATTTATAATTTAGTAAAATCTAGAAATAGTTTCTATTTGCTTTATGCTTTGAAAGCCCTTTACCATTTTGACATCTAGTAAAAGTCCACCCATGTGTTCTTCTAGTTTCTTTGTAGTTTTACTTTTAAAATTCTAATTCACTGGGAAGTTAAGTATATTTAATAAGGTATGTATCTAAGTCAAATTGTTTTATCCTCTCAAATCTAATATAGAAGCACTAATAATCTGGCCTTTTCCCTTTGGTTTTGATGTTTTGTTGTCATACTGTAAGTCTGTATTGTTATCTCTTGTTTTTCTGATAATAAGTTTTTTTTAAATATCCTGATACAGAATTTGTAACCATATATTTTTGCATTTTAAATAGTGTCTGTTGTAGTAGGTAGAGGCTCTCTCATGTTCAATTTACATATTTTCTTGTGTTTTGGTAAAGATACACTTGGGTGACTGGTAAAGAGCCACTTACATACTATGACATGAATTTGTCAGCTCAGGACCATCAGACCTTTTTCACCTGTGACACGGACTTTTTACGTCCTTCAGACACAGGTATGTGTCATATCTGCTCATGGGGTAAACAGTGGTGATGAAAATTATTTTTAAAATTCTTTAGCATTACTTATAATACACAAAGTTACTTGGCTTGAGGTTGTTTGCATCATGGATAACAGAAGCAGATTAAATTGAAACTAAATATGAATGTAAACTAGGTTGTTACACTACGTATCCTCCTTATAAAGAATTTAAAGTAGTTTATAAAAATATAAAATTACTTCTTTTATTACTTGAAAAACCTTTCAGATCAAATATAGCAGAGAACAGTGTACCCAGTTTGGTCTGGGGAATTAACATATGCAATTATACATAAGAGTAAGGCAAAGTGTAATCTCTGGGGCATGGCATGTAGATTAAAATGGAATATATTTTATCCCAGTCATAAGTTAGAGGTGCGTGGAAAGTGGTGGAAGATCATAGAAATGTCTGTGTTTAGGTCTAAGTCTTCTCTATGGAAGAGAGTATTAAGACTCTTAAATACACGGTTAAAGACAGATCTTTATCACTGTTCTTTCACTTTGAATGCCCTCTCCTTTCCTATCTATCCTCCTACTTCTGTGCTTCCTGCTTTTATCCTTCAAGATCCAAATTAAAAGTTACATTCTCTAGGAACTTGAGAGTTAAACACTTTATTTTCTGCAATTTTGCAGTACTTAGTCCAAGCCTCATTGAAACAATTCTAGTTAATTTATTCAACCACAAACATTTACATGTTAATTTTATCATGTTGTTTTAACATTTACCTTCCCTAATAGGGTGGGAAACTTTGGAAAGCAGGGACTGTATTCTCATCATCTTTGAATCCTTTTCATCTAACACATTGCCTGGCATACTGTAAATATATTAATATTTATTCTTCGATGAAAATATCAATGAATGACCTTAGTGTCACAGATGTCTTAAGCAATTTCACTAATAATAGCTAACACTTGTGTAGCACTTACTATGCACCAAGCACTGTTCCAAGCAATTTACATAAATGTACTGATTTAGTATTCCCGATCATTTTATGAGATAGGTACTTTTACCAACCTCAGAAATAAATGTGTGAAGAGAAGGAAGGAAGGAAGGAAGACAGGTAGGCAGGCAGGCAAAGGAAAATCAAGTAATATGCCCTAAGTAACCTAACTAATAAATGATAAAGTTGGATTTCAAATTCAGGTCTGACTCCTCACCACTATACTACTGTTGCTTCTACTCACCATAGTGACAGGCAAAAGAAGATCACTACTAGGGGGTCTGAAAAATAGCCAGTTTTCCAGCATTGAAGTGAATTCTTTGTGATCTGTATCTGTTGGATTAAATATATTAAGGGTGGGTGATAGCAGTAAATGCAGGGATCTTTGGAATGGTTACATGAAGGGATTTAATTGTGAATAGGAGAAAAAGGAATTGCCTTATGTTTATATTAATGGCAAAAGTGTTGGGTTGGGGAAATAACTGAAATGGAAATTAGTATGTTAACTTTAAGGACTAAAGTTGACTCTAAAAGTAACTCTAGAAATTAAGGCTTCACCTCATTTTTGCAAGCAGAATTGCAGACATTGGCAGGCTTTTCTGGTAGTATCCATGGCTATCCACTAAAGCCGTGCTCTTAAAACATTATTGTTCACTTACCTCCTAAAGTAATTTTGAAAAACTACGTATCCTTTCAAACATTTTTAACTTGACATCATAAGATTAAATAATTGCAAAGAATATGATTTTTAGCATATTACAGATAATTAAAAATAAAACTAGAATACCCTATATTTGAATGTATCTCAAGAAATCTAATGACTTGATATCCACCGTTACCTATTGAAAAAGACATCGACGAATACTCTTCAGCAGTAGTAAATTTTATGTAAGTTCTTTTTTTTTTTTTTAATATTTTATTTATTTATTTGACAGAGAGAGAGAGATCACAAGTAGTCAGAGAGGCAGGCATAGATAGAGGAGGAAGCAGGCTCCCTGCCGAGCAGAGAGCCCGATGCGGGGCTCGATCCCAAGACCCCGAGATCGTGACCTGAGCCGAAGGCAGAGGCCTAACCCACTGAGCCACCCAGGTGCCCCTAGTTCTTTTGCTTCTTGAACTCATCCATTTCACACCTCCATATTATAATTATTGTATACTTGAGAGTCTTATTTATCACATATGCTTTTCCACAATAAAATTGTTTTGCCTAAGTTTTTAAAAATTTTAATTTGCTTTGATCATAAGGTTCTAAATGGTATATGTACTTTAGTTATATTTTTGTCAAATCCTTGGAGCTACATATTTGGCTTTTTCAGCTTTAGAAAATGTCCTCCATAGAACAGCACTTGGCTGGGTGAATTCTCATTGACCAAATCGGACTGACTTTCTGACAGAAAAGTCTGACTTCATTTTTTAAGTCAAATAACCATGTTAACATGCATCCCTATGACAACCATTTCTCTTTCTGAATTTAAATTCTAAGATAGAAACCTAGAGAATTCTTGGAGCTTTGCCTAGGGCCTATCACTTGACCAAAATAAGATTCCACCACCTTTATTTTCCTTTACTAATGCCCCCTTTGCCTTGCTGTGAGGGGACCTTTCCTTAGGAGCAACACTTTCTTTAATAGTAAGGGGCAGGGGAGGCTGATAAGTGGAACTGATAAAAACGGTTATCACTTCCTCTCTAGGGAGAGCATCCAGGGGCCAGAATACTCTTATTTCTAATGCCAAGATTTACTCTTAAGTAAAAGGAATTCCTGTTGTAGGTGCCTTCACAAAAAATGGCTGCCCCGAAACCTAAACTTTGAATTTTCCTGTGGGCACTTGGAGATTTTTACACTCTTCGGAATGTACCTTAGAAAGATTCAGGATGGGTGAGAAGAGTTTTTTCAGGAATATATCTTTTGGAGAGCGGGGAAGCAGATACTGGGTAGGAAAGGGCAACCAGCATGGTGCATAGACCAGTCAGAGGCACATTCTTCAAGTAGATCAGTTTTAGGAAGAGTCATATAAAGCTGAGACTTTATAGAAATTGGTTCTCTTAAAACCACGCATGCTGTTTTGGTCCTTGCAAAGTTTCATGTACTTCTAGAGGTATGCGTAATCCCAGGTAAGTACTGAGCTCAAGGACAGTCTCTTATCTGTGAATTGATCCATATTGATCTTTTCAGATACTCACATAAAGGTAATGATTTTATATCTGTAGTTTTATTAAAAATGTGTACATATGTGTGATGTGACAAATTTCTCTTGATGAATTGCCATCAGTTACTAGTAGATTCTGTTCTCATCCTATTGATTTATTTATTTAAGGCGTAAAACAAACATATCTTCAGGGCCAGCCAGCAGTGTTCTGTTTTTGATTTTTTTTTTTAAGATTTTATTTTTAAGTAATCTCTACACCCAATGTGGGGCTCGAACTCACAACCCTGAGATCAAGAGTTTCATCCTCTACCAACTGAGCCAGACAGGCCCCCCGGCCAGCAGTGTTTTTTGAATAACTTGTTTTCATGGTATTCTCAATTCAACACTTAAGAATCAGGAGATTTGACTTTTTTTTTAAAGATTTTATTTTATTTATTTGACAGAGAGAGAGATCACAAGTAGGCAGAGAGGCAGGCAGAGAGAGAGGGAGAAGCAGGCTCCCCGCCGAGCAGAGATCCCCATGTGGGGCTCAATCCCAGGACCCTGAGATCACAAACCAAGCAGAAGGCAGAGGTTCAACTCACTGAGCCACCCAGGTGCCTCGAGATTTGACATTTAAACCCGGTTTTACACTTTTTAGAAGTTGGAAAATATGGCAAAACTGGACCTGTATGTACACCTTGGCAATAATCAGACCCGAGCTGTGACTCTCTCCTTTAGATTGTGCAAATGCCTTTAAATTTACACATTTCTGTTTTCTGCTTCGTCTTTGTAGGCATCTACATTTCATAGCCCCTGATCTTGGGATTGACTATTTTCTGATTGATAGCATATTGCAATATTATTTAACTTTAAAAAATAGATAAATTTGATTGAATTGCTAATTGCTTGTGTTGTTTTTTTAAGCATATCAAGAGCTCTTAAAGAGGACAGGTGAGCAGCTTTTTCTGCCTCTGGGTCCTGTCCCTGTGCTTTAATAAAACCACCTTTTTACATGAAAAAAAAAAAAAAAAAGACAGCTAAATACTAAATCAGCATTTTCCTTTTAATTATTCTTAAGCCTTGTTTTAGAAAGAAATACAAATTTCTTCTTGTACTTTATTTCCCCTTTTCCCTTTGGCTTAGAACTGAATTAGTTGTGAGAATTAATCTTAAAAGCCTGGATAGATGGGGCGCCTGGGTGGCTCAGTGGGTTAAAGCCTCTGTCTTCGGCTCAGGTCATGATCCCAGGATTCTGGGATCGAGCCCCACATCGGGCTCTCTGCTCAGCGGGGAGCCTGCTTCCTCCTCTCTCTCTCTCTGCCTGCCTCTCTGCCTACTTGTGATCTCTGTCTGTCAAATAAATAACTAAATAAAATCTTTTTTTTTAAAAAAAAAAGCCTGGATAGAGCAGTTGAAAACGTTTTCTAAGAATACTAATAAGAAAAAAATGCTTAAAGGTGGATCAGATGACCTCAGTAAAAAAGAGAGAAATGCAAATAAAGATGAGATAGTTTCCATGTATTAAATTAGCAAAAATTGATACTAACTCAGTGTTGCTAAGTAGGGAAACGTTCACTCTTCTCCACTGTCTGAAAGAATGTAAATTAATACAATCTTATTGAAAAGAGTTTGGGAGTTTATTATATCTAAAATCTTTTAGAAGATGCATACATTTTAATCAGCCGTTCCACTTCTAGAAAGGAAATATTTGGTCAGGTATGCAAAAGTAGATGTTAAAAGATGGTGGTTATAACATTTCTATAATTAGCAAAAATTGCATGTAACTTAATAATTTAAAAGAATTTCTTTGATTAATTTTGATATATACGTAATAGGCTAGAATCCCAAATAGCCATTTAAAATGTTGATAAGGATTTCAGTATCCAAATTTGACTTGTAAATTAAATCATGTAAGCTAAGGAGAAATCCCCATCATTAAAACTGGCAAGTCTAATATTCTTTATTTTTATGTAATATTTTAATGTTTTAGCAAAACCCTATTCTTTACCTGGTTATTATCAGATGGGTGCTGACGTGCATCAATTTGTCAAGTTCAGGAAGCATTAGTTGTCAGACAGCTGGTGACATGTTCGATATGAGATATGTATTTTTGTTACACAAGTGAAATATATTGTTTTCTTTTCCAAGCCAAGACTAATATTTTGTTTCCAAAGGAAAACGCAAACATTTTCCACATTATTCTTTCTAGACAGTTGTAGGTTTTGTTCCAAAAGCAACATTCATAGATTCTCTATTTTTCTTATCAAATTTGAAATAGACCAGATAGTTTCATGAATCTACTTTGTTTGTTTGTTTAATTTTTAAGAAACTTAATTTTCATTTTGTACAGTAATTGGTAGCAAAACTAATATTGTTATTCTAGAGAGGTTTTAATTCAGGCTTTTCTTGAATCTTGGTAGAGACTGACATTTTCCATAAACATACTATATTCTAAATTAATTGCTTTTTCCATCTTTTTGTACGAAATACAAATTCAAACATTCTTCCTGGATTGAATCATTGAATCAAGTGTTTTGTATATTTTAGCATCGACCCTTTTCAAAGTGATAAAAGGACTAGAATATTTCATATGATTATAATTCGATGTTATCCAATTTTAATATGCATTTAGAAATATAAATGTTTATGTATAATAATCGTATAGTTAACTGGATTAAATACCTTATATGTTGTTATTCAAATCAGAGAAAGAATATATTTTTCTTCTGTGTGATGCTTCCATTTAATGTAAATTAGATTATTGTGAGCTGACACCCCAATTTCTTGTTTATGTTTAAGAACATGTTATTTAAATCTTTGTTTACTCTCCTAGCTCATTCTTCATACGTTTTGCATAAGATTATTTATGTTTACCATCTCATCTACTTTTTACAATATTTTTCCTACAGTTATGCAGAAGGCATGGAGGGAAAGAAATCCTCCAGCTCGAATCAAAGCAGCCTATCAAGCTTTAGAATTAAACAATGAGTAAGTGTGAAATATATGGAAAGTAACTTTGTTTTGTAGGAAACTCAGGCAAATGTTATCTTTTTTCTTTTCCTAAGACACTTAGAGTCATTAGCAGTCCCCCCCCCCTGCTTTTTTTTTCGTATACTAGAGACAAATTTTAGTGTTCATGAGCATCTATACTTTGGTTCGGAAATTATAAACTTACCTGTGCTTTTGAATTGAAATTATCCTAGAGATATTTTTTAAAATGGGGAATGCTGATCTCATTGGTGATAATTCTTGATAGTTAAAGAGTACAAAAATACTTATGCCACCTTTTTTTATTTTGTTTTCATTTAAATCATTCATTCAAAGCATTCATTCAGTCCTGAGAACTTTAGTTGCTAATGGGATTGGAGGCATGTGAAGAGGATTCAAAATAAGCCAAATGTAGTATGTATGTATGTATGTATATTTTTAAAGATTTTATTTATTTATTTCACAGACAGAGATCACAAGTAGGCAGAGAGGCCGGCAGAGAGAGAGGGTGGGGGAAGCAGGCTCCCTGCTGAATAGAGAGTCCGATGTGGGGCTCGATCCTAGGACCCTGGGATCATGACCTGAGCCGAAGGCAGAGGCTTTAACCCACTGAGCCACCCAGGCGCCCTTTATTTATTTATTTATTTATTTAAAGATCTTATTTATTTGTCAGAGAGAGAGAGAGAGAGCACAAGCAGGCAGAGTGGCAGACAGAGGCAGAGAGAGAAGCAGGCTCCACGCTGAGCTAGGAGCCTGATGTGGGACTCAGTCCCAGGACGCTGGGATCATGCCCTGAGCCAAAGGCAGCCAGTTAACCAACTGAGCCACTCAGTCATCCCAGAGGTATTTATTTTTTATAGCTCTTTATATCAATTCTTCATTTTGAAAAGGCAAAATGTAAAATCACGAGTTAGCCTAATATTTAAATGGAATAGATCAGTAAGTATTAATCTGATACTAAATAAATGCCAGGAGTAAAAGTATGGCCCTAGTTGGGGTTAATCAGGGAATGCGTCCTGAATGGTATGAATTTAGCATTGTCCCTGGTACCCCTCAACAACCCCATCCCCCAAGATATGTTATCATTATTAAGAAGACCTTCCTAAGGTAGAACAAAAATCAGTGTAGGGAATTCCAAAAGCAGTGAATCAACTTTATTAAAACTCTGGAAACTAATCAAAAGTTTGTGGCATCCTAGAGAATACTTAATCAATTAAAAAAAAAATAGCTGAATCTCTGTAAGTGAGTTTTATGGTGTTTTAACTTACACCCCCCCCCCCATTTCCCACTCCCTTGCTCAGTGGCAGTCTTGAAGACAAAAGTCTGCGTTCTGGGTATAGGTTCCTCCTATCCGAGTAAGTGGAATGACTCTTATTCTTGAAGAATTGTGCTTGTTTATTTTTATCTGTCTGGTTGGCTCTCTGAAGGGCCAGCTCAAAGGTATTGCCTTTATTTGGGTTAATTTGGAACTCTCCCAGCATTGACACAGCTACACTGGGGGGCATTTGTTCAAAACACATAAAGACAAATGCATTAGTCCCTGTTGCCTTGGAGCAAGGGATAACAGCTGGGGCAAATAATAGACACACCAGAAAGCTTGAGAGGAAAGGCTGGGGAATGAGATACTTTGGAAAATAAAGGCTTTTGAAAAACTCCCACATATTCCTGGGAATCTCAGATGTTCCATACATGCCCAAGTTTGGGCACATGCTCAGAAGTGACTTAAGAAGACCCTAAGCTCTCATGTCTGTCTGAATTTCAGGTTCTGCACAAACAGAAAGTAAAGGCTAAGGCAGGGTTGTAAACTGCCTGGCTGAATGTTGAAGGTGTGCCCCAATACACTCAGAACCAATCTGCGAAGACTTGGCTTTTTTTGTTTTGTTTTTGGTTCCAAGTGTTTAAGACAAGCTCTATCAAATCAATGGCTGATGAACAGGCTAAAGGAGAGAGGATTCACTGGTATATGATAATGACTGCAAACTTTAGCAAATTAGTTCAGAAAAGTCATTAAACAGCTACAACAAGCAACAGCAACAAGCTATGGGGAGGAGGGGGAAATCTGAGTGCTAGAGTTGCTAGATTATGATCTTCAAAATTTGCAGTTTTAAACAAATTAAAAAAGACACACAAAGAAACAAAATATGCCCCACTCACAGAAAAGAAAGGAAATGAATGGAGACTGTCCTGACGGAAGTCGTCCAGACTTTGGACTTTCCAGACAAAAACTTTAAATCAAATATTTTAAATATGCTCAAAGAGGTAAAGGAAGCCATGTGCAAGGAACGAATGGAAGTCATGAGAAGGATATCTTACCACTAGAGGATATCAATAAAGATTTAGAAATATAAAAAGAAATCTAGGAAAAAAGTTTAGAAAGAGATCCAGAAATAAAGATCAAGAACTCAGTGAACCTCAAGTAAAATATAATCAAAGAAATCTACAATGAGACACATTATAATCAAGCTTTCCAAAACCAAGGACAAGGAGAAATTCCTGAAAGCAGCAAGAGCATCATGAATGAGGAATCTTCAGTAAGATAAGCAGTTAAGTTCTCATCCGAAACCATAGGAGCCAGAAGGCAGTGGGATAACAAAGTCAAAATTCTTAAAGAAAGAAAACTGTCAATGAAGGATTCTTTTTTTTTTTTTTTTTTTTAAAGATTTTATTTGTTTAAGAGAGAGTGTGCTTGAGCATGAGCAGGGTAGAGGGGCAGAAGCAGGCTCCCACAGGGAGCCCAGTGCAGGGCTCAGTCCCAGGACTCTGGGATAATGACCTGAGCCAAAGGCGGATGCTTAACCAGTTGAGCCACCCCGGTGCCTCCACAGCTAAAGATTCTATATCCAACAAAGCTATCCTTCAAAAATGAAGGAGAAATTAAGACATTTCCAGATAAACAGAAACAGTTCATTGCTAGCAGATCTATGTTATGTATAAATGGATATGTTATAAATAAAAGGATAGGTTTTAAATAAAAGGATACTAGACAGTCTTGACTCCACACAAAGCAATAAAGAACACCAGTAAAGATAATTACATAAGCACATATAAAAGTTAATGTATTTTGGGTTTGCAATTATTTTTTTCAATATGATTTAAAAGACAATGTAAAACTGGGGTGCCTGGGTGGCTCAGTGGGTTAAAGCCTCTACCTTTGGCTCAAGTCATGATCCCAGGGTCCTGGGGTCAAGCTCCACACTGGGATCCCTGCTCAGTGTAGAGCCTATTCCTTCCTTTCCCCCTGCTGTTCCCCCTGCTTGTGTGCTCGTTCTCTCTCTGTCAAATAAATAAAGTCTTTTAAAAAATCAACAAAATTGATGAACTTCTAGCTAGACTGATCAATTAAAAAAGAAAGAAGACTCAGATTACTAAAATTAGGAATGAAACTGGGAACATTACTACTTAACCTTACAGAAATTTAAAGCAGAATACAGTGTACAATTATATAATCTATAAATTAGATAAATAAAAGGGACAAATTTCTAGGAACCAAAACTGATTCAAGAAGAAATAGAAAATCTAAGTAGACTCACAACAAGTGAAGAGATGGAATCAGTAATTTTAAAACTTCCAAAGAAAACCAAAGACTAGATCCCTTCACTGGCAGGTGCTACCAAGAAATAGAAGAAGAATAAACACCAGTCCTTCTTAAATTCTTCAGAGAAATAGAAAGGAAGCGCACCTGGATGGCTCAGTGGGTTGAGCGACTGCCTTCAGCTCAGGTCGTGATCCCAGAGTGCTGGGATTGAGTCCGCACCGGGCTCCGGCTCCATGGGGAGTTTGCTTCTCCCTCTGACCTTCTTCCCTCTCATGATCTCTCTCACGGTCTCTCAAATAAGTAAATAAAATCTTAAAAAAAAAAAAAAGGAAATAGAAAGGAAGTAACTCTTCCTAACTCATCCTGTGAAGTATTATCCCATACCAAAACCAAAGACATCACCAGAAACAAAAATTATAGACTAATATCCATTATGATGTAGGTGCAAAAATCCTCAACAAAATAGTAGCACAGCAAATCCAGCAGCATATTAAGAGAATTACACACCAGGAGCAAGTCGGATTTGTCCCAAGAAGGCAAATGAAAATCAGTCAATGTAAGATACCACATTAATAGAAAAAAGAGCAAGAACCACATGGTCATTTCTATTGATAGAAAAAAGGTATTTGACAAAATCCTACAGTATTTTCTGATAAAAAACACTAAGAAATAAAAAAGGAATAGAAGGAAACCTCCTCAAACTGGTAAAGGAAAACCCACAGTCTTTCATCTGTAGATATGCAGTTTTTATTTACATCTTTACAGATGAAAGACTGAAAGGTTTCTTTCTAAGATCAAGAATAAGACAAGGACATCTTTTCTTGTCCCTTCTATTTAACATTGTACTAGAATTGCTAGCCGGTGAAATTAGGCAAGAAGAAGGAAGGGAAAATGGCTTCCAAATCAGAAAGGAAAAAGTAAAAACTGTCTTTATTCACAGATTATATGATCTTATACATAGAAAATCTCAAAGAATCCACACACAAACCATTAGAGCTAGCAAAAGAGTTCAACGAATTTATTGTCTATAGACATATATAAAACAAATAGGAAAATGGCAAAAACAAGTCTTTCCTTATGTCTGTTGTATATCTATACACTAGCAGTGGACAGTCTGAAAAAGAAATTGTTTTAAATATTTTATTTGGCTGAGAGAGCAAGAGAAAGCATGAGTGGAGGGTGGGGAGAGGGAGAAGCAGACTTCCCACAGAGCAGGGAGCCCAATGCAGGGCAAGATCCCAGGACCCTGAGATCATGACCTGAGGCAAAGGCAGATGCTTAACCGACTGAGCCACCCAGGCACCCCTGAAAAAGAAATTTAAAAAACAACTCCATTTATAGTAGGATCAAAAATGTGTTAAAACACTTAAAGATAGATGTAACCAAGGAGTGTAAGACTTGTACACTAAAAATGACAAGATATTGTTGAAAAGTTAAAAGAATACCTAAATAAATGGAAAGACATCCCATGTTTATGAATCGGAATACTTAATATTGGTAAGATGGCAGCAGTCCTCAAGTTAGTCTACAAATTCAAGGCAATCCTGATCAAAACTTCATTTGCCATTGTTATGAAATGGACAAGCTGATCCTAAAATTCACATTGAATTACAAGAGCTCTCAAACAGCCAAAACAACCTTGAAAAAGAACAAAATTGGAGAACTCACTTCCTGATTTCAAAGCTTACTATGAAGCTACAGTAATTATGTCATAAAGACAGACATCTAGATTGATGGAATCAAGTTGTAAGTTCAGAAATAAACCCATGCATTTATGGTAAATTGATTTTTTAAAAAAGATTCATTTATTTTAGAGAGAGAGAGTGAGAAGGGTCAGAGGGAGAGAATCAGACTCGCATTGAGTGGGGATCCCCAGATGGGGCTCGATCTCACAACCCTGAGATGATGATCTGAGCTGAAACCAAGAGTTGCATGCCCAACCTACTCAGCCATCCAGGAGCCCCTATGGTCAACTGATTTTTGACAAGGGTGCCAAGACCATTCAATGGGGAAAGAATAGTCTTTCCATCAAGTGATGCTGGGCAAATGGATAGTCACATATAAAAGCAACCTTTACCTCACATGATGCACAATTAATTCAAAATTAATCAAAGACCTTAAGTTAAGTGCTAAAACAGGAAGAAAACATAGGGGCAGATTTTTATGACTGGATTAGGCGATGGTCTCTTAGATACGACACCAAAAGCAGAAGCAACAACAAAGAGAAAATTAGATAAATTAGACTTCATCAAAATTAAAAGCTTTTGTGCATTGAAGGATACTATCAAAGTGAAAAGGCAACCCACAGAATGAGAGAACATATTTGTAAATCATATTTGATAGGAGTCTTATATCCAGAATGTATCAAGGATTCTAACAACTCATTTACAAAATAATCCAATTAAAAAAGGACGAAGGATTTCAACAGACATTTCTTCAAAGAATTCAAACAGACATATATGTAAATGACCAGTAAGCACATGAAAAGGTTCTCAACATTATTCATAATTAGGGAAATGAAAATGAAAATCACAGTGACATGCCCCCTCATAAGATGGGTATTAACAAAAACCTTCAGAAAATACCAAGTGTTTGCAAAAATATGGAGAGATTAGAACCCGCATACATTGCAGGTGGGCATGTAAAATGGTATCGCCACTGTGGAAAACAGTGTGGCAGTTCTCAAAAAGATAAAATTAGAACTATCATATGACCCAGCAGTTCACCCCTACGCATATACTGAAGAGTACTGAAAGCACGTGTTCACAGCAATATTATAATAGCCCCAAACTAGAACCAACTCAGATGTCCATCAGCTGATGATGAAGGGATACACAGAATTGGTATATTTACACAGTGGAATGTCAGTCTTAAAAAGGAATGAAATACTGCTCCATGCTACATGAGTGAACTTTGTATATATATTAAAAGTCCCTAAAAAAAAAAAAGTCTCTGAATGACATCCTTTAAAATGATTAATTTTATTATGTGAATTTTACCTTAATTTAAAAAAAAACCTTCAGGGAAAAAAAAAACAAAACCTTCATAGCAGTGTCATTCAGTATTCATAATATTAATTTTAATATTTCAAAAATATTAAAAATATTTTTTAACAAATATAGGAAAGCTCTCAGAGGAAAGAACCTCTTTTTATCATATAGCTAAACTGTAATTTAAAATATTTAATTTTGATTCTATTGCATCAATTTATACCCATCTAGATCTTTTAAAAATGTTTTGTTTTTTGTTATTTAAAAACATTTGAATTAGGTTTAGAATGGCAGTTTGGAGCCCAGTGTTTTGTTTTGTTTTTTTATATTTTATTTATTTATTTGACAGACAGAGATCACAAGTAGGCAGAGAGGCAGGCAGAGAAGAGGAGGAAGCAGGCTCCCCGCCGATGCGGGGCTCGATCCCAGGACCCTGGGATCATGACCTGAGCCGAAGGCAGAGGCTTTAACCCACTGAGCCACCCAGGCGCCCCTGGAGCCCAGTGTTTAAAGCAGCAATGTATCTAATGTTTCAGAGAAATCTAATATATGTAATGGAGAAATCTCTTGATTAGTGAAATTATCAGATAGTTCAATTTAGTGTACTGTTGGAAGGATGCTGAAACGGTCTGATTTGCATTTTCTGAATTTAAAAGATCCTCCTTGTCCCCAGTTGTTTGATAGCTACCTTGCCATCATTTTTCATAAAGGTTTTATTTATTTACTTTAGAGAGAGAGTGTGAATGAGGGGACAGGCAGGCAGAAAGGGGGAGGGAATCCCAAGCAGGCTCCATGCTGAGTGTAGAGCCCAGTGCAAGGCTCAGTCTCACAACCCTGAGATCATGACCTCAGCTGGAAACAAGAGTCAGATGCTTAACTAACTGAACCACTCAGGCACCCCCCTTGCCATTATTTTTGTTTCATGCCTGGTCTTGTACTTTTGCCAACAATTTCTCTTCTCTTGCTTAAACACTGTTTGATAGAAATATAACATATTTGTAACTAAATTTCCTGGTAGCCAGATTTAAAAAGTAAAAAGAAAAAGGTGAAATTAATTTAATGAATATATTTTATTTAGCTATATTGAAAATATTAAAATATTTTAATATACAATTGATATATTTCTTAAACTATTAAAGTTTTTTTTTTACGTTTTTCTAAGTCTTCAAAATCCAGTGTGCACTTAACACTGACATCACATCTCAATTTGGACTAGGCACATTTCAAGTGTTCAATAACTATATGTAGTGAAGGACTTCAGTACTGGACAATGCAGGCTTAGATAATCAGAACTAGAATGTAGTCTCCAGAGGAGCTACAGTATGTACTTGCTATTTCTGGGAATGGAAAGGAAATTTTTTGTTTCTCTTTTTTGTCCCCCAAACAAGTTGATTTATTAGCCAGCCTTTGACATAATTGATAACAAAGAGAAATCTTTCTGTTTTAGTGGGGTGAAGAAAGGGAACTTGGATTGAGCCTGGGTGTGATGAGTAAAAGCAGCAGTGTTGAAGGAAAGACTAGAATTCACACCAAGGAAGTTTTGCTGCAATACAATTGTGACTAAGCCCAAGAGAGGATGGGGGCAGCACACAGAAAGAAGGCTCAGGATTGGAAAAAAGGGTTAGTCCTGGAATGATATATTTCTAAGTCAAATGTTAAGGACCTAAAGGTCCTTAGGTGGCCATGGGACTTTATTCTCAATCTTGACCCTCTCCCATACTTGCCCCTGTTAGATGGATATTACAAAGTGTGTACTGGCTAAGAGCAGGCATGACCACTAGAATGTATAGTTCCTTGAACTACTTTATAGTTCCTTGAACTACTAAGGCTTTATAGATCTTATTTTCTCCCCCCTTTTACAAAAGGAAAATATGAGACAAGCAGTTAGAGAATAGACATAGAAGTAAACCAGATAGAAAATACAGTGAAGAAATGTAAGAAAGGAGAAAATAGTGGAAACACACCAAAAATATACCAGCATGCCCCTAACAAATTAGCATGTCGAGTGAAGTTTTTTTTCCTTCTTCAAGAGATGGAAAATGTAGGTAAAGGTAGGAAAGTGTGATGCAGAACAAAAGACATATCCAGGAGAAAATACTTCTTTACCATTTTACTTAAAATTGCCTTGCTTGCTTTCTTCATAGCTGTGCCACTGCATACGTTTTACTGGCGGAGGAAGAAGCAACAACTATTGTAGATGCTGAAAGGTTATTTAAACAGGCACTCAAGGCAGGAGAAACAATTTACAGGCGGTCACAGCAGTGCCAGCACCAAAGTCCTCAGCATGAAGCTCAACTGCGTAAGCAAATTTGTACTGATTTTTACCTTTTATTTAGCTCCTGCAGTTGGCTCTTTTATGTGTAAGACACAAAATAACAATAGTAAAAACAACCCTTCATACTTAGAAGTTAGCTTCTTTTCATAAGAAATAACTAATCTATTCGTAATATCTATAAGCCAACAAGCCAAACAGGCTTTAGCTAGAGAATGCTTGTGGAAGGGAACAGATGTGCTTTGGTTATTGAGAGATGTGCTGCTCTGAGATTTAAGGTAATTTATTTCATGTGAGAATTGGACTGGTCATCAGAGAAACACAACTCAGACATCCCCAAGATTCAGGAGAGCCTTCTGGTAATGATCAGTAGCTTTATTCTTACCCTTCCCCCAAGCAGTAGCAGAAGTACATCATTTGGTTGTGCCCTTAGGACCGTATGTATCTCCACATAGTGCCAGGAAGTGACTGCTTCAGTACAACACCCAGCTCCACATGTGGCATTGATTCTTTCTTTGCCTCTTCTCTGTGATATGTTTGAGAACATATGGGCCAAACCAACCGAGATTCTTTCTGCTCTTAAGGATACTCTCTCAGTTAGGATTGAGATACTTCCACCAAAGATGTTAGAATCTGTAGTGCTCCTGCTTCCTGCTATTTTTCGTGGCCAGAGGGTTTTCGTTTAATGATTTTGGCAGATATTGGGCAATAAATTGAAATATGTTTACATAATGCATTATCTGTTAGCAGTTAAGTTCTAAATCTTTTGTTTGTGGAAATTAAAATTTGGATAATATTTTCTCTCCAAACTAAATATTGATGTATACAGTATGTTTCATTAATGTATGTTGTTATAGCACACAACTGTGGGAATATATAATTTTGCAGTCTGGAACTAATGAAACTACATCTGTGAAAAAGCCATGCCATTTGTCTTTGTATAATCTCAAATATGATTCTGAGATAGTTACAAAAATATTTGTTAGCTCTTTCTAGAAATAGTTTTATAGTTTACTAATTACTAGCTGTTGAGCAAAAGTTCACAGTAACCATGGAAAAAACCATATTTTGTTTTGAACATCTTTTGTCAGTTAAAACAATAGAGAATATTAAAAAAAATTTTATGCAGAAACTCAAAATAATAGGTCAGAATTATTTTTCCTATTGTATGTATTTTTTATGTTAATATTAAAATATACTTGTCAAGTATACACTAATTAATTAATATATAATGTACTCAGGTTACTGTTAGAAGCAACAATGATTCTGTATATGTGGATTTTAAGCTTTTACTATAAAAAACTTCAAATATATACAAAAATAGAACAATATAATAAACCCCCATTCAATGTTCATCACCCAAATTTAATAATCTTTAATAGTCTTCCATTCTGAGACAGTTTAATTTTAATTGAAACTTCCAGGATAAGCAAATAATTACTTATAATTATAGTTAATGGATGATGTGTTAACGAAATAGTAGGTCATAATACAAAGTGATAATTATGTCGTTTTTTTAAATAGGAAGAGATACCAATGTACTGGTATATATTAAAAGAAGATTAGCAATGTGTGCAAGAAAATTAGGAAGAATAAGAGAAGCAGTAAAAATAATGAGAGATGTAAGTAAGTTTAATGATTGGATGTTTGTATTTCTTCCTTCAAAAACTGAAAATATGGTTTAAGCTGCCAGTTATTTTAATGTAAAACCATTGTTTTTTAATTGGTAGCTTTTGTAATAAGGTGTTTATTAATATACATATATTTCTAAGGGTTGAGTCTCCACAGTTTTGTTAAGAAACTAAAGAATTTCTACTTTAATGAATCAGATTCATCTCTGTTGAGTTCCTTTGCTATAATTTTAACCTTTTTTTCCTTTTAATGTACAGTTGATGAAAGAATTTCCTCCTCTTACCATGTTGAACATCCATGAGAATCTCCTAGAATCACTTCTAGAATTACAGGCCTATGCAGATGTTCAGGCAGTCCTAGCAAAATATGATGGTGAGTGATAATTGACGTAGTTGATAACATGGTTAAAATATTTTTTTCAATTATGTAATCATAAATGTGATCCTATTCTGGTATTTCTTTGATTTTTCTTTTTGCATTCTTTCAAGTCAGTATTTAGAATCCATGGATGCAAGTTATAGTAAGTATCTTCTTTATCAGGACTTTTGGGAGCAAAAGTCTACAAGGAAGAAATTTTCTTTAAAAATTTAGTCATTTGTCTGTTGAGTGAAGGGCTTAGAATACAGTGGTGAACAAGAAGACATGGACTTAGTCCTTGTAGAAATTACAGTTTAGTAAAGGAACATATAGACAAAGACAAATGAACAATAGTTATATTGAAGCATAGTGTGTAAGGTGAGATAATTGGAAAAGTGTGGGGTGCTATGGACATGGGATGGTACCTCATTTGTTTTGGAGTGTCAGAGATAGTTAACAGAAGTTGCTTTATGGTATGTATAAAAAATTCAGAGTAACATTTTTACAATGCTTTTTGGTTACAAAGTATAATTTATTATTTCATATGAGGAGTATAATACTCTTGTGAGGTGGTAGGACAAGTTGTTTTACTCTTGTTAGTAAACAAGGAAACTGGAGTTAAAGAAGATAAGGTCTCCCAGCCAGTCAGTGTGGCAAGCCAACACTTAAATCCAGCTATTCCATTTCTTTGTGTACTAGTCTTCCAATAGTAAGAAGTTGACATATATTGGTTATTTTTATTATTATACTAAACAGTGCCAGTTCAGCACAAATGGAGTTGGGAGAATTTTTAAGAAGCATGCCAGTTCTCCTCATTTTGAGTGAGGCATCCCCTTTTAACTTCAAGATGGAAACATCCTAACTAGCATAATGTTTCTGGTCACATCTTTCACTGTAACATAACATCTACAGGTCACATATTCACGCGTGTTCTGTTTTCAGTTCCTAGCCATTAGTTTGGGAATCCCCATGATTTGGAAAGTTTGAAATGTGTCACACTTGGAAAGAGAAGTTTATTTTTATAAACATCTGGAATTCTTACAAGTGCTTCACGATAGTGTAGGCTCATGGAGAAATTTGTGAGAAATTCTTTCCATATGTAACTTATCGGGTGCGTGGCCTGCTTATGATACAGTGAACAAGCTTAGGAACCAAATACAAAAAATCAGATAGGATCTGATTTATTTAAAATAAAATAAAACTAACAACTTAGCTATGCTTCTGTGTTTTCAGTTGTTTTTATGATTCCCCAGGTTTTACCATTCTAGAATCCTGTAGAAGTTAAAAGCAAATTTATTTCTTTAGTTCTCAATTTGCTGGTATAACTCCGGGATCTAAAACTTCAAGAGAGTCCACTAATACTATTCTCCTGATAACATTATTTTGGGCATTCTTTAAGAAAGGATTGGTATAATTAATTATATTTCCTGATTATTTTATTTTCCAAAAAAATCCTTTAAAACAATGTAGAAAATCAAAAACACTGGAAGAAGAAAAAATTAGAATCACCTGTTGTATTACCTGGACTTAACTCCTGTTAAATTTTTTTTTTTTTTGAATCTTAGTTTTTCTCTGTGAATAGGTGGAGTTTTCAGTAGTTCTAGGTCTATATGTCTTTTTCCCTGAATACTTTTATTGTTAACAGATTATTATGAACATTTGTTGAGTACTTTTCACTGTTGTTCCGAGGACTTTCATAGACAAAATTTAATTATAATTTAATATATATAATTATACAGATATAATTATATATATAATTATAATTTTCTCTGCTAGAAAAGTATTATTTCTTTATTTTGAGAAGAAAAAAAAACTGACATTAAAGGTTAAAGAAGTTGCTGCTAGTTCAGGGATGCATAGCTAATATATACTAGAATCAGAATTAAAACTCAGCTCTTCCAACTACATGTCTACCTGTTTCTACTACTATAATGTATCTGTTGAATTTGTACCAGGAATTATTCTTAAGAATAATAATTAAGAATTCTTAATTCTTAAGAAACTTTTTGTGATTCTTACCTAAGTTGAAAATTACAATTACAGATATAAGCCTTCCAAAGTCAGCAGCAATCTGTTACACAGCAGCACTATTGAAGACAAGGACTGTTTCAGATAAGTAAGTATTGAAAACTACAGTAGACTACTAAACTCAATACGGGTTTCCCCTGCTATCTGAAAGTTCACTTTATGCCATTTCAATTTTACAAGACCCCTACACTAATACCTGTGTTTGCTAACCAAAAGAAATCTGAACAGGATGCTCACATTTATGAAATGGTAATTGCTTCTTCCCTTTATGCCATTCTAGCATAGGAAAGACTTCTTAGGAACGCTCTACTTGCAGATCACAGGGGAAACGTATATTATGTTTTTCACCACTGACTTTAAATAATGCTTTTTTCTCCCTATTTCCTTTGGAATAACCCTTGATCTGATGGGACTTTGAGGCTTCTTAACAGTGTAGTGGAAAGAGCACAGTTGTGGGGTTTTTTTTTTTTAAGATTTTATTCATTTATTTGACAGAGATCACAAGTAGGCAGAGAGGCAGGCAGAGAGAGAGAGGAGGAAGCAGGCTCCCCGCTAAGCAGAGAGCCTGATGCAGGGCTCGATCCCAGGACCGGAGATCATGACCTAAGCTGAAGGCAGAGCCTTTAACCCACTGAGCCACCCAGGTGCCCCAAGAGCACAGTTTTTAGAGCTAAATAAACCTGGATTCCAATTCAAAATCTCCTGCATACCAGCTGTGAAACTTTGGGCATGTTAATCAGTTTGAGTCTCTTCCTCTCTGTAAAATGAGAATAGTAATACCGTAGCATGGTTGTGTGAGGATTGTGTGTTTTAAAATGCTTAAAACAATGCTAGAAAGTACATGGAGTACATAGTAGCTATGATGATAATGATAAGGTGTATGGTAGGGAAATAGTTTCATGCTGTCCTGAGATTATAATTCCCTTGTCTTTTTGGCTGTCCTTAATGAATTTCTCTTTATTCCACAGATAAGATTTTCAGAAACCAAATGGCAACCATTTTCTTTCGCCTTAGATTACTATGCCTCAATACAAATTAGAAGGGAATATTCACAGTCTGTTTCCTCTCAGTGAAAATTTGATAAGAATGTACTTCTATTTCATTACAGTCTCTGGATGTCCCTATATAGCATTTCTTATTTTATCATCTTTCCCATCATATGCCAGTGGACTTCTCCTGAAGGCTTTCATTACCTAAATTTGAGGATTTCCATTTTTTGCGTTGCCCTTCTTTATATGTTCAACCAAGGGCATTACTTTCATGTTTACTATTTGGCTTTGGCTTTGGCTATCAACCAGAAACCCCTGCTTCAGGAAGTTAGATTATGATCAAAATCCATGGATTTTTGTATTCATTTCTTCATTTTGTGGTTTTCTTACAGATTCTCTCCCGAAACAGCTTCCAGAAGAGGGCTAAGCACAGCAGAAATTAATGCTGTGGAAGCAATTCATAGAGCTGTGGAATTTAATCCTCATGTTCCAAAAGTGAGAAACTTTATGATGAAAATGCTACCTTTATTTGAGTTTATCAAATTCATGAAAGCATGTAGATCAAAGTTTGGGTCTCCATAATTTGAGTCAGAATTATTTTAGTCTGTTACATATTTTTTTAAAGATTCACTTATTTATTTGAGAGAGAGAGAACGTGCATGAGCATACACATTGTGGGGAGTGGCAGAGGGAGAGGGAGAGAGAGCCCCAAGCCGACTCCGCACTGAACGCGGAACGTGAGGCAGGGCTTGTTCTCATGACCCTGAGATCACGACCTGAGCTGAAACCAAGAGTTGGATGCTCAACTGACAGTACCACCCAGGCACCCCAAGTCTATTATATTTTGATACTTACTGACTGTAAAGTGGATCTTAAAGGCATTCAGTGAGGTGAATAGGAGCAGTCGTTCACTGTAGGCGTTGTAATTGCTGTCAAAATAAAATTTGAAATGTGTTCATTTAGCAGTTCCTTTTACTTTAGTTACAGAGAAGAAATAAAATGGCATGGTCTTAATAGAAGATCACTGATTTTTCAGATCATTACATCAAATTTCCTGTTACTATAAAGGCTTTTTACATCTAGACAGATGCTTGGGTTTGAAACTAGGGCTAGATAGACAAAGACTGAAGACAAATAGATTAAAATAATCAATGATAGAAAACAGATGTGGAAGTTCGCAGAAACACTGCCAAGTTGATGTTTATTTAGTCCCAGATGAAACTATACCCATCTCATTTGTCTTTATATTGTACACATTGCAGACCACAGATTATTGGTTAATCTTTGTGTCTTGTCACCCAAGATTAAGTTTTGGGTTTTTAAAAGTAATGCTCTGTGTTAGAAAGTATAGAATCTTCAGAAATAGCTGCCTTTATTACTAAATGTAATATAACTATTGATTCCAGTGTAATGTGCGTTAATGGAATTTGGAAGCAAGTAAACATGAAAGAGAGTAATCTCTAAAAGATAATCTCGAAGAAGTTGAAGTTGTAAGTCTGTTAGTACTCTAACAGTATAGATAGAATCAAGAAAATTACTGCAGTCTACGGATGACAGTCAACAAATATTCATACCATTCTCTTACTAAGTGACACCAGTCCCATAAATTTAAATAATTTTATTATGAATTGTGTTACATGTATAGCAAAGTATAAAAAGCATCTTAGTGATTTATTATAAAGCAAATGAGTGGAAACTACCACTGAGGTCAAGAAGCAACACTGTCAGTCCCCAGAAGCCCATCTGCCTGCCTGCCATTTCCCAGTTACACCTTTTTCCTCGTGCCTAACGGTAATCGCTATTCTGACATTAACTATGTTCATTTTATTTTTTTCCTATATTTTTGGTCTATACTTTTCATTGTTGGCTTTATAAGATAAGGAGTGGTTTTCCCTTTTTAAATTCTCTGGAATAATTTGTGTAAAATTAGAATTATTTCTGCCTTGAATGACCAGTAGAATTTGCTGATAAAGCTGTCTGATTCTGCAGTTTTCTCTTCTTTTTTTATCGAATTTTTGTTTTTTTAAGTAATCTCTATACCCAGTGTGGGCTCAAACTTAGAACCCTAAGATCAAGAGTCACGTGCTCTACCCACTGAGCTAGCCAGGCACCCCTGATTCTGTTTTCTTTGTGAAAAGTATTTTCACTACAAATTTTATTTCATTAGTTTAATAGGTTAATTACAAGTTTAGTTTCTTTAGCCATTCCATAACTCTTCAAATTTCTTCTTGTGTTGGTTTTTGTAAAGTTACATTTTCTAGGAATTTATTTCATCAAAATTTTGAAATTTATTGGCACAAAGATTTCATAAAATCCTTATCTTATTAATGTTTGCAGGATCCGTTGTGATATCCACTGTTTAGATCCTAACACTAGTTATCTTTTTAATTTTCCTTACCAGAGTCCCCCAAAATCTAGCAGTTTTATTAGTCTTTGCAAAGAACCCAGCTCTGGCTTTGTCAATCCACTCTACTATTTGTTTTCTGGTTCATTCATTTCTGCTCTTTATGGCCTTTCTTCAACTTTCTTTGGCTCTATTTTATTATTTTTTTATTTCCTGTATCTTTTTATATAGGTACTTAAATTAACACATTATTTTTCTGCCTTTCTTCTGTAAACCTCTAAGTACAGTGTTAATTGCATTGGATAGCAATATTTCTTGTTTAATTTAATTCAACATATTTTCTAATTCAACATATTTTCTAATTTCCATCTTGATTTCCTCTTTGATTTAGAGATACATTTATTCCATTTAGCTATTTCTTAATTTCCAAGCATGCAGAGATTATCTTTTTATCAGTGATTTCTGCATAATTGCATTATGGCCAGAGAGCATACTCTGTGTGATTTCACTCCTTTGAAACATTTTTCAATTCTTGAATTTTTGTTTATTTTTCACATCTCCTGTGTTATTTATAGTTTGCAATTCTCTGCCAAAATTTAAAGTACACTCTTTTATGTCTTTGAAACTTGTTTAAAGTAATTATCTTAAAGTCTTTCTCTGATAATCCACATATCTGGAACTTCTGTGTCTGTTTCCGTAATGTGTTTTTTTCTGCTACATTTTTTCTTCTTGTCTTCTCTTCTTTCTCTTATGCCTGATTTTCTTTGACTACATACCTGCTATTTTATTGGAAAAAACTGTAGAAATAACTTGGAACCTCCGATAATAGTATCTTCTTTTGGAGAGGATTTTCTTTGCTCTTAGATGCCTAGAAGAAGCAACCAGCAACACAGAATCACCTTAATTCAATTTGAGGGATTGATATTTTCTGATCTCCCCAGATGACTAGAAATTGGGCTAAAATCTGTGAAAGTTTGGTTTTTATTTCTGGCTTACGCTTATGCCTAGGATGCAGCCATTCTGGGTCTCAACTCAATCCTGAGGATTTTACCAAGGCTCTCGCGCTTAACACACCGTGAACTCCTGACTTTTGTTCCTTTAGTCTTATAAAACTGGCAAAAAGGTTGAACAGCTTCTTAGCCATCTTGTCCAGAATTGGCAAATGTCTCTATGGTATAAGAAGCCCCAAATGTGGCTTACTTCTCTTATTGCTGCCTTCTTTGGAGTGTTTGTTGATTCTCTGATGTATTTGATTATGTTTTTAAAAATATTTTGTTGTCTGAGAGGGTTGATCTGAATTGTCCAGTCTTCAATTACTGGAAGCAGAGGTTTGAAAATCCTTCTATATGAAATGCTCTGCTCTCTCTTGCTGCAGAGTGGTTAAGAGAAAGGATTCTGTGGCTACACTGCCTAGGTTTGAATTCTGGCTCCACTACTTCCCAGCTGTATGACCTTAGACAAGTTCTCTGGACTTGAGTGACCTCATGTGTAAAATGGGGCTAATATCCCTTATCCCTTAGAGTTGTTATTAAGATTAAAAGAGTTTGTATCTTTAAAGTGCTTAGAAGAATGCCTGACACACAGTAAACATTTCAGAAGTGATTTTTATTATTATTATTCAGGATGGAATAGAAATCTATTCCCTGTGAGAGGATAAGTGGCAGTTATTAATTGGAACTATTCAAATTAAATACATTACTATGGTGTCTAAAATTTTTATTTAATTTCCACTGAAAATAACAAAATCTGCACCCTATAGTTGTGGACTTGTTTTCTGCTTCAAAAATGCTTTCATGCAAAATATATTCTAAGCGGTAACAATTCTTTTTTTTTTTTTTAAGATTTTGTTTATTTATTTGACAGAGAGAAAGAGAACAAGCGGGGGAGCAGCAGTGGGAGAGGGAGAAGCAGGGTCCCTGTTGAGCAGGAAGCCCAATATGGGGCTCGATCCCAGGACCCCGGGATCATCACCTGAGCCAAAGGCAGTCACTTAACCATTGAGCCACCCAGGCACCCCAGCAGTAACAATTCTGATAAGGTGCATTGTGCATTGGTCTTCAAAACTACTGCTGGAGGCACTTGGGTGGAGGGAGGGTGGTAGAAATTCCAGACATTTAATTTAATTTAAAATAAATTGTTGGATAGATAAAATATATAAATCTCCAGATTGAATCTACTCTAGATAATCTATAATGCTTTTAGGGATTTTTTTAAAAATTTAAACACACGAGAAGTTAAAGAAGACCCAAATAAATGGAGACATATGTATCATGTATGTGGATTAGAAGACTCAGTATTGTTAAGACCACAGTTCTCCCCAAACTGATCTGAGATTCAATCTAATTCCTATTAAAATCCTATTAGGCTTGTTTTTAAAAATTATAAGCTCATCCTAAAATTGAAACAAAAATGCAGAGGACATAGAATAGCCAAAACAATTTTGAGAAAGAAGAACAAAATTAGAAGTTACCTAGCTTTCCCAATTTCAATGCCTTTTTAAACTATAGGATTTAAAATAATATCAATAATATATATTAAAAATATAGATCAATAGAGGACAATAAAGAATCCTGATATAAACTCACCTAGTGATGATCAGTCGATTTTCAACGAGAGTTCCAAGGCAATTCAATGGGAAAGTATAGTCTTTCTTATGGGGCTGGAAAAATATGGTGCTGGAACAATCAGGTATCTATTTGGAGAAGAAGGAAAAAAAAAAAAAGAATTGAGACCCTTCCTTCACACCATTTACAAAAATGAACTCACTATGGAACATAGATCTAAATGTAAGAGGTAAAATTGTACAACTGAGAGAAGGAAACAGAAGAAAATCTTTGTGTCTTCAGGTTAGGCAAAGATTTCTTCAAAAGCATGATCCATTAAAAAAATGGATGAATTAGACTCCTTAAAGCATTTGCTCCTTAAAAGACATCATTAAGAAAATGGAAAACCAAAGTCTAGGGAAAAATATTTGGAAGTCATATACTGTTAAATTCCATATCCAGAACTTACGAAGAACTCTTTCAACTCAATAATAAGAGGACAAATAAATTAATTAAAAAGTAATTAGTAAAGGATTGAATAGTCACTTCACCAAAGAATATATATGAATAGGTAATAAACACGTGAGAAGATAACATCATTGGTCATT